TACAACTGAAAAAAAAAAAAAAAAATTTGTACACGATACTTTCATGCAATCACCGACCCAATATTAATTTATGACACAATTTATACATGTCAATCACTTTAAATTATTTATCATAGAATAAGTAACACAATGACATAAATTTTTATATAATTATTAGAAAATAAGTAACACAATGGATGACATTAACTTTTATATATTAAGAAGTGCCGTAATTCTATTTTTAAAATCAACCAAGCTTTAAATATACATGTAATTTTGCCATCCTTTATGTTATAGTAGCTTATTTTTCCCGAATTTTATTTTTAAGTCGTGTTACTTTAATTTTATTTTCTTAATAATGTCAAAATAAAAAGTTAAAAACTATAGTACACTCTACAAATATTCGTAAATTAGCAAGAACAACATGGAAATTTTATAATTCTCATATAGTAAATTGTTACTATTTGCATTTCACTCGAAACATATATTCCAGATAACATATTGATATTGGTCCTCTACCAGTGCTATGTGCCCGATAGACCAAACAGTCGTACTATTCTATTAGCCATAATATAAAGGGAAAAATAAAATAATATAATTGCAATAGCTGGCTTTAATATATTATACTATTATTTACTCTTTAGACTTACGTAAGCAGACAAATTTGTTGAAATGGTCAATGGGTTAATTGATTTTCTAAAGATTGCTAATTTTCTTAATCAATGTTTGAAAAAAAAAAATCTAATAATTACGGATTTCTGTCCAAAGATTGGAGCAAGACAACCTATCAATAATTAACCCCTAAAGTCACATTTGCAAATATTATTAATTTTGCAATGCAGCTTTTGGACTCATTCCTAGCTGAAAGAATCTATGTACTTTTTATTTTAATTTTATTTTTCTAAATTATATGTTTTTGTCTACCTCTTTTATAGTCTTTGTTTATTATTACATTTGTCAAAAAAGGTTTAAGATTTTTATAGTCTTTGTTATCCAAGTGGGATTATTTTTTTTTTTTTACTCCTGAAATTTCCAGTCAAACTAGCCTCACTAATATGGGTAAAAGATAAATCCCCTAACAAACAGTCATTAGTGACGGCTCACTGACTATTTCCTAATTTTATACATGCATACAAATACTAATCATTGTTCGATTTAATTTCTTATTTTTTTCCTCAAAAGTCCAAGGCTTATTCAAAATATAGTCTATGAGAACAGTAGTCATTGTACTAATGTCACGGTAAATTATATTAATTACTTCATCATTATAAAAACTCGTGTATGTAAATTTATCATATACTTTATTGATAATACGAAATTACGAATGCAATTTACGGAAAAGATTTGATTACTTAGGTTGGACTTTTAATTAGTTGAAGGTCGTAATCAGCTGCAAGCAGCTTTTACAGATTGTGAAAATTATTATGTTGCGTGCATATCACTTTTTTTTTCACCCATTTTTTTTTTTTATTTTTCATTTTCTAATTTTTCTGTTGAAAGTAAATCTTCATTGATCTTTGGACAAGGACAACGTATCAATTTTGGATTCATTGCATCACAATCATTTAACAGTGTACACTATAAAAAAACTACAAAGATTTTGAAATCAACAAAAAGATTAGTATTATATATCAATTAATCAAGTAATTGTAAAAATGACAACTCCACATTACGTTCTTATCTGGTCGAATAAAAAAATTGGAAATAACAACAATTATTATATACTGTACAATGCATTAAATTACTAATCAAAGTTTTCAGCGTTTTCTCGAATTCAGGGAGGAGATAGAAATTAAACTAAAAATGGTGCAGTTAATTTAAATATTTAATACAAAGACTAGAAATATCACAACTATGTACCCTCATAAAAGACGTTATTTTCATCAAAACCCCTCAAAACCAGACTAATTACCTAAACCCCCCTCAATTTCCCTCCGCCTTGATAATCTCGTCCACGAAGAAGCTCGTAGGATTACCGCAAACGGGATTACCGCTGATAAGCTGCTTAATCTCCTCAATCCCGCTGTAATCCAGCGGATTATCACCAAAACCGTATCCTTCATTCATAGCCGTCGATGACGAATTGCATCCGTACAAGAATTTCCCATTATTCTCGTACAAATCCTGATGATCCCCGCCAAATATAAGGAGGCTGTTTTTCTCGTCATAGCTATCACGGGCCGGGCCAGAAAACCCGTCCGGACCGAAGGGATTGGGCGTGATTGGGGTGGTTAAATTGGGTGATATGGGCTCGTAAATATTGGAAAAGGGCCTGATTGTGGAGGGGCTGTAGGGATTGGGAGGGATTAGTGAAGGTTCTTGAACGAGGGAGTTATTGGGTGGTGTGGGGTGCACAGTAGCTAGGTGAGCCCTCCTATGGTATTGGTTGATAGGGAGAATACTGCTGGCTGTGGCCATGAGCTTCTTTTTGAGCTTTGTGTTCCAATAGTTTTTTATGTCATTGTCTGTTCTTCCTGGCAATTGAGCTGCTATTATTGACCACCTGCAATAATTTAATGAAATTTTTTTTTTTTTTTTTTNAAATTTGATTTAATGAAGAAATTGGGGGAAAAAAAAATAAGAAAAAAGGAATTCATGGGCCATGATTATTAATGTAAGTTTGACTATAATTGGATAAGATTAAAACATTTAGAAGCTAGCTTGCGCATGAAATGATATTGAGAAATTGCAAATTTAATCTATTATATTAGCAAATTCGATTAAATTCGCGGGGTGACTAGCTAGGATTTTTTCACATACACTCGTGCATACATTTATGAAAGTGCGTGTTGATCTAAAGTTGAAAATCAGACAATAAAGACAGATTTTTTCAGCCAGCTAATTAAGTTTTTAACCTAAATTTGGTGATAAAGGAGTAATTTAAATTGGTCTATACTCCATAAAGAAATCATATTGCATAATTGATTTTGCAAATTCTTGTTTAAAAAAATAATATGATGGTAATGCACCCTCGAAATGTAAAAATAATAGTACTAATTATGAAAATTTTAATTTAATTTAAATAGTTGAACTTTGAACCTGCTACCAATGCTAGCAAATAGGCTGCAAATTATCCTATCCTCATCATCTGAAAATTCTCCATGCTTGATATTTGGTCTCAAATAATTCAGCCATCTCAGCCTGCAGCTTTTTCCACACCTCCTCAAACCTATAATTTATTAAATAAATTTGGTGAAAGAAATTAATAAGCCCCAAAAAAAATCAGCCAAACAAAAATAAATAAAATTAGAAGTCATAATG